ACTTGCAACCCCCTCCCTCTTAGTGGCAACCTCACCCCAATTGGGGTGAAATGATTACAAAGAGGTTCCTTGTTTTAGATGATTAGTAATCAACTATACAAAATACAACATATTGTTGAAATATTGCGACAAATTAAACTTCAGTTAAGAGGTCTATGTTTCGATCATTATTATCAGCATTCCTTATCTACATATATATAGCAGGTTGGTAGGAGACACCGGATGAATTTTTTAATACTAAAATTCAACCAAAGCATTACTCTACAGGTAAGGTGATACTGTTAAAATTAGCGCTATATAATAATTACCGTTGTGTATTTATTTGTTTATGACTTTCGTGTCACGTTCAATAACAAATTCTATCAATAAGTCAATAGTTCAATCATTTTCTTACGTTAGTGTCTATTTACCAACCCGAGTGTTTCCGCATGGAAAGCTCTACATAGCGCTGAGCAGAACAAAAAATAAAATAAAATATTTTTTAAATAAGCATCGAAAATAAAGACACCGAAGGCAATCTTCTTAGAAAAAAAAACCTTCACAAGAAACGATGTGATAAGCGAATTAATTGACTAAACAATTTATCAGTAGCGTCTGCTGAATTTGGGAGTTCTGAAATGACTTCTGATATCTGCAACGTATGAATCGCGGTGTTTTTTCGATTTTCGCAGTTTGATATCAAAAGTAAAGACAACCATGGAAATATTTTTAAAAACGTATTATTACAGGAAACGAAATAATAAGGGAACTAACTGTGTAAACACTTCAGAAGCGTCTGCTGTGAATTCTGAATATTCGTTATGCAATATAACGAAATACATCCAATCTTTATGTCAATTATCTAAGAAGTGCAAAATACCAAATCTTTGTAAGAAACGTAGTAGTAATGTAAGACATCAAGCAAAAGGTTAACCTCAGCCTCAGTTGTAAATTTTGGATGTTCGTTTTATTGAATCAGTATAAGCTCTTTCAAAACTTTTGTAGAAGTAAAGTAAACTCGTTGTTTCATGCTTAGAATTCGGTATACGCTTCCTTCTAATGTCTACTTCAACTCTATACATCTAACGTCTCCACGTAAACAATTAAATTTTATTTTTATTTTCTCAATAGGAGTAGATAGGTTCGGCTATTTTCCGTTTCACAATCCGAGTTTTTAAGAAGGAGCAGAAGTCTATACCTTGTTTCCTGTTTAACACTGGGCTTCCGGTTCCTTAAAATATCTACATCAAGTTTATACTTCTAACGTCTCCGCCTAAACTCTCAAATTATATTTACTATGTATTTCATCCTCAATAGGAGTAGACAGTTTCGACTATCGTCCAGTACACTCACCTCCCACTCTTTTTAAGCAGGGTTGGAGATTTATCCCTTGTTTCCTGTTTAATATTGAGCTTCCGCTTCCTTAAAATATCAATATCAACTTTATACTTCTAACGTCTCCGCTTAAAGTCTCAAATTATATTTACTATGTATTTTATCCTCAATTGGAGTAGATAGGTTCGCCTATGCATTAACCTTGTTTCCTGTTACGGATTGGGTTTCCGATTCCTTCAAAAGTCTTTTCATTGTCTCTCACTCCCAGTAGACACCTTGCGTCTTTGTGGTATTATTACCTTGCTTGGGGGTGAATTGATTTAAAAAAAAATCACTATTAAAGCTTTCTGGTAAGTGCTAAGGATAAATTAGACATGTGATATGTTAGAAAGTAATTATTTTCTAGTAAATGTTCGCTCAATACAATTCGTAGAAGTCACAAAATATAGACTGTTGATGAATGAGGTCGTTTTATAGATGTAAAAAAAAAGTAAGGGCAAATTATCAGTGTAGGATAGATAACAGTTGACTGTCGATTTGAAGTTCTTAAAATTGTAAGGATCGTGAAAACATCTCGGGGGTCTGTTCCGAATCATATAGACCTTCGGGATGAAGATGTCTGAGGGAAACCTTATCAATGAAATGCGAAGGGAATAATGGTGTGCAAACAAAGAGGATAGATAACAACAAATCTCCTAAGTGTCACAATAAAGATTACCGGGTAATTCTTTGTCTGACGCTTCGATTATGTATTTAGAGATTCTTGACAAAGTACAAAGAAGAATCTGCAATGTTATTTGTCCTGATCTGACATCTCGGCTTCTGTGAATCTCCCACCGCTGTAACGTAGCTTTTCCCTGCCTTTTCCACGATTTTTGTGGTATTTGTTCTGAGGTGCTTTCCCCTTTGCTACTTAGAATTTATGTTTTACCGGAGTACTACATTAGCAGCATGGTCGCATCATTTTACAGTTGAAATGACTCGATATAACCGCAGTAACAGCTACTTTTCTCGTACTACTTGATTCTTATTTTCTTTTTCATTTTTTCAAACTCACTAACCCCTTTTAAAATGAAGACAATCCTTCAGACATATGGCACCCCCACCCGTTATAATAACTGCCATAATGATGCTATACAAAAATACTAAATCTTTGATTATATCCCCAGATAGATACACTAGCCTTTTCGACATCAAAGTAGGGGTCCTTCAGGGTGACACTATTGCACCTTTTCTCTTTGTTATGACCCTTGACTATGTATTGAGAACTTCCCTCGACAAATATCATCATCTAGGTTTTATTTATCACCAAGTTGGTATCTTGTAAAACCGTTAACAGATATTGACTATGAAGATGACCAACCTATCATTGCAGACTCCACTTCCCATGGCACAGTTCTCCAACATCATCTAGAACATGCTGCTAATGATGTTGGACTCATGTCAGTGCCTCTAAAACGCATGATGAGAGCTATACTTAACATTGTTTGGAAACAACATCCAAATAAATTATAGCTCTATGAACCCATCCCTGATATTTTTACAATCTTACTCGAACGCACAATGCGCTTTGCAATACACTACTGGCAAGCAAATCAAGAACACGCGAATGATCTGCTGCTCTGGACACCATGGAGAATGACGGTTTGGTTGCCCAGCAGCCACCTACATTGACGATTTATTTCATGACAGAATTACATCCTAATGACCTTTCGATCTTGACGCAGGACCCTGATGGTTTGCGTGATAGGCTCATGATTTGCCGTGTTAGCTCAATGGAATAAATAATAATTAGAATAAAAATAATGCCCTTATTTCTTAGTGGCTTTAATGCTTGGAGTAAAACCATTATAAATGTTCATAGTAACAAAAGGAAGTTTTGAATCAAGCAGTCATTAGGGAAGAAGATGTTGTGAACGGGTTCCTCTCATTGGTCATTTGATATTATGTAGATTTTCATCCAACAGAGACGTAGTGAATAATCTTATTTGCTTTAATTTCTTTAACATATATTTGTAGATTTATAATAAAGAAGGCATTTTTTTTTGTGCAGTGATTTTTATTAATTTACCCTTCTTCATGCGAACGATTATTCTCTTTATCTGAACGTCTTCACCGTAATGTTCCTTTAACTTTGATTCGTTGTTATAAACATTGGAACTTACTGATTCATTTCCCCTGTAGAATCAGGAACCGATTCGGGTTTTATTTTTTGTTTGCTTTTTTTTTTTCTTTCTGATTTCGTTTTTCTTTATCGTTTCTTTAATTTTGTTTTGGTTCCTTCTTATTTAATTTTTTTGTGATTCCTTCGATTACAATATTCTACGTTAATTCTCTTGTTTTTTGTATTGTTTTTTTTTGTGGGTGGGGAGTTCTGTCGTTTATTCGGTCATGTAGTGGTTAATTTGATTCTTGATCCAATCAGATAATCTGTTTTTCTATCCTTTTATATTTGATAAATTTTTTGGCATTATTTTTATTATTCCTCACTATTTTTTTCTTTCATTCCTTCTTTTTTCTTTCTTTCTTTACTCATCCAATAATTCCTTCTTTCTTCGTCTTTGGACACATCAGACGTACACTGCTTCTTTTTATTCATTTACTCATTTATTTATTCATTCATTCATTTATTCTTTCTTTCTTTCTTTCTTTCTTTCTTTCTTTCTTTCTTTGATTCCTTAGTTACTTCTACTTTTCTTCTTAAGGCGATGGAGATGTGCTTCTACAGAAGGATGCTAAGGATATCACAGACCGAGCAACGATTAGGTCTTAGATAGGATGCAAAAAAGAGGGAGGCTTTTACTTCACATCAGGAAGAAACAGATGAAGTTTCTGAGACACATAATGAGGAAGGAGGGCCTGGATAATCTGATACTAACGGGTAGAATAGAGGGAAAGAGAGACAAGTGAAAACAACGCATGACATACCTAATGGACAGCATGCTCAATAGGTATGTCAACCGGATGAGAGAACGTGGTCTGGGGGAAGAAGTAGAAGAAATAAACTTGTTGAGAGCTGTAAGGGATAGAGGGAGGTGGAGAGCCATGATCGCCTACGTCCTGAAAAGACATAAAAAGAAAGAAGTATTTCTTTCTTTGCTCTTGTCAACTTTTCATTCTTTTTTTTTTAGTTTTCTTATATTTTCTTTCTTTCTTTTTCATTTTTCCTTTTGTTTTTCTTTCTTTGTTTTCGTGAGTTGATAATAACTACATTATACTATTCTTACCTAACTTCTCTTTCTTTCTTTCTTTCTTTTTGTCAATTTTAATCTCATTCTTTCATTATTACGTCTTTCATTGCTTCATTTTTCTTCTTTCGTTTACACGCCTTTTCTTCCGTTTCTTCAACAATCTTTTTCCATCTTTCTTTTTATTCACTTCAATACAGTGTCTTTTTTTATTTATTTTTCTTTTCCCTATTTTCATTTTACTTTAAATTATTTTCTGTTTTTCTATATTTTATGCATTTTTGTATATTCTTCAAAACATTTTCTTTCAATCTTTCTTTCTTTTTTCTCTCTTTCTTTTTTCTTTCTTTTTGCATTTTTCTTTCTTTCTTTCTTTATATTGCATTTCTGTATATTCTTCAAAGCATTTTCTTTCTTTTTTTTTTTCTCTTTTTTTTTCTTTCTTTTTTTTTTTTTTTTTTTCTTTCTTTATATTGCATTTCTGTATATTCTTCAAAGCATTTTCTTTCTTTCTTTTTTCTCTCTTTCTTTTTTCTTTCTTTTTGCATTTTTCTTTCTTTCTTTCTTTATATTGCATTTCTGTATATTCTTCAAAGCATTTTCTTTCTTTCTTTTTTCTCTCTTTCTTTTTTCTTTCTTTTTGCATTTTTCTTTCTTTCTTTCTTTATATTGCATTTCTCTATATTCTTCAAAGCATTTTCTTTCTTTCTATTTTCTTTGTTTCTGTCTTTTTTATATCTTCTTTCTTTCTTTCGTTCTTTCTTTCTTTCTTTCTTTCTTTCTTTCTTTCTTTCTTTCCGTTGCCTTCCTGTATACCCTTCAAGGCATTTTTCTTCCTTACTTTATTTTATCTTTCTCTATTTTCTTTAAACATTTTATCTTTCTTTTTTGCTTTGGTCTACTTTTTCTTTCTTTGTTTCTTCACTTTCTTCAAAACATTTTCTTTCTTTATTTTGTGCTAATGTCTAACTTATCTTCTTTTTTATAGTTTCATTATAACATTCATTTCTTTCGTTTTTCTATTAAATTTCACTTCTCAAATGTTGTAAGGTCAAAGTTTAATCTTTCTGGCCTTGGGCCTTTCAGAGGCAGATGGCTGTTAAAAGAAAAAAAAAAAGCAAAAACAAACGTAACTTGTGAGCAAAGAAACACAGCAGGATCAGGTAAGAATTATTTGTCCATCGAATATACGTTCGTATTTCCCTTTCCTTTTAGATATTTTAAACACTGCAATCGAAAACAAGTCTCTGTCAGTTTTAGCCTTCGTTTTAAATTCCTACAAGAAATATTTCTTTGAAATAAGATAAATTTGTTAAGTTTGAAACGTGGAATAATCGATTATCTCAACGGTGCCGACAAGATAAGACAATATCAATTTACTCTTGAATACGCAATTGAAGGGCAGGTTGGAATAACTTGGTAGATTGGAAAATTCATTCAAAATTAGTTTGTCTTTGGGCCAAAACCAAAACGAGAGTGGATGTGGTAATAAACAAAGAAAATTGGTAAAAAAAAAAAAAGGTAGATAAAATCAGCGAGGTGCTTGAAACAACTGGGAAAATGTGACGCTGAGATCCAAAGACGCACTGGGAGAGTGAAGGAAGCCCGCCAAAAGCTAAGCAAATTATTAAAGAGCAGAACAATTTCGTTAAAAACAAAGAAAGGAGTACAGAACAGTTACGTAATTTCAGTCCTCTTATTGTGATTTTTTAATGGAAAGCTGTTGTAACTGATCTATCAAAACAAGCTTGCTAACTACTACAATATATATAAGTATACAGGGGCATGTCGAGGTGGTTTAATGGCTAGCAAGCTTGTCACGCTAGAACTGTTACAGCTGAGTAGTGAGTTCAATCCTGACTGGGTACCCCATGCTTTTGGCCTTGCGCCACATCTAAGCTGTGCTTTGAGTTGAACTTGGGCAACACATCCCTGAAATTAGGCCAGTGTTGATTTTTTTTTTATTCTTTAGTTTTTCTCTTTTCTTTCCCAGTAAACTTAGCTAGGGTGTGTTAGCACATTGGCCCCTTTTATTTCTGTCCCTATTTTTTCTTTAGTTTAATTCCCCATCACCTCCCTGGTTAGGTGGTCAGTGATGTCAGTTCTCTGGTGGATGCGGGGAGCTTTTCGTTTTTCGCCTGTGTGTTTTTCCTTTTTGTTGTCGTGTCTGAATGAGTGTGTGTCTGTGTGAGTGCTAGGGATGAATAAATGTTCATATATATATATATATATATATATATATATATATATATATATATATATATTATAGTTCCGCATTAATTTCGTTCAGTTAACAGATGTTTCTGTCACATTTAAGGATTGTTGGGGGTTTTATTACTAACATGATTTTGTTTAGTTTATTGTAAATAGATTATATTCACATTGTTCATACTCATTGGAGATTTTTAACGTGTTTTATCCCCCCTTACAGACGATGATTTGTACATATGGGGACTATTTAGGATTTTCATTGAAACAATGTGGTATTATGGTGGGTGTAGTAAGAAAGGTTAGTAAGAGTGGGTTGTTTTGGTGTTAGGAATATTGTTTGTATGCTTGGGTCAGTGTTTACGGCTAGCTAAATTTGGGTGTTGGGGTAGAGACAAAGCTTATATAAGTATAAAAGTGGACACTTAGGACAACACCAATGCACATGTGTATGTTGTGCTTTCGCTCGACTATTTACATATGCTGGTTATATCCAGAGCATACCCCAAACCAGACCATACCCGTATTTATTCTAAGCTAAGGAGTTGTATACCTTTATAACTGGAGTATAAGTTACGCTGGGCCTGTTTATACTCTAGTATGCTCTATGTTGGCCATTCTTTGGGTAGGAGTATACTTTTAGTTGGTGTATACTCAGGGCTGTGTTATACACTGGGTTGGGGGATAGCTTGGGTTGGGGTATGCTCTTGGTTGGGTTATAGTCTGGATTCGGGTATACTCTGGGTAGGGGTCACAAATTGGGTGCTTAAAATAAAGCCACCAAAAAGAACTCCAACCGCACGAACGGGTGGAATATTTTAGAAATCATCTACAAAAGTTAATGGCGAATAGAGGCTGATAATTGAAGGATGCCATTTTTAAAACTAAGTGAATAAAGCGTGTAAGCCTTTATTTAAACAACAGTGAAATATTGTTATTAATAGCAGTTGGCTTGGGGTTTATTTCAACCTCTAAAGTGTGTGAGGTAATTCTGATGTAGACTGTTTTACTTATCTATGAATGCCTAGCTTTTCATATTAATACCAAACACGGACGCGCAAAATAAAAGGGGGGTAAATCTAAATTAATCTTCCCATATAAATTCCAATATCACTGATTATTGACAATAATCTATCACAGGGAGAAAGGAGTCATATATTGCGAAGTAAGGAGATGTAACCAATTTTATATCCGGAGGTAAAAAACAGGCTCAGCATAACTTCTACTCCAGTTATAAAGGTGTACAACTTCTTAGCTTAGAATAAATCCGGGTATGCTCTATGTTGTGGGGTACACTGGGTTGGGGTATGCTCTGCGTTGGCCATGCTAACTTACTGGTATACAATTTCTTGTTTTCATAATGGCGGTCAGCTAATATGAGAAAACACTACTTTATCTAATACTGGACGGTTTGCTTGCCTTTCTTCATTATCATTTCAGCTTTATAAAAAAAAAGCGGAAATCATTCCAAAAGTATTGCATTCCTTCGAGTCCGTCTAAATTGAACTTTCCCCCAGATAACACTCTCTACTTCCGTTATTCCTTCACCCAAGAAATTTTTTCACTCAACGTTCTTTCTTTTTATAAATATCAGTCAGCCGAAGGTGTAAGATACATTATGAACTTATCGGTTTAGCACCTCAGATTAACACCTTCCAAGAATATATCCGGATATAGCTTAGCCTAATCGAAAATAATCCCGCCGAGAGAAGATTGGGGAAAGCCTATTTCATCCTTCGACTTATAAAATAGCTTTGTCTAAACTATATATTCACCTCATCCAATTTATATCACCTTTTACTTGTATCAGCAACTATTTTTTTTAGCTAGAAATTATCTGATGGCTTATGTGTCCAAACTGGTAATGATGACTTCATCTTTTGTTGACCATTAGAATATACGAGGTACTTCTGCATCTGTATTTCTTCGCTGCTTTTTCCTGACACCAGTTAAACTTGTGAACTTAAGTTTCTGTCATATTCTTAACCAAATTCTTATTAATCATTTATCGTTGCGCAGTTTTGCCACTCAGTTTGGCCAGAAATAAATAAGTTATCTCAAAACCACTGGAGACGTTTAAACAAAGAGAAACAATTTTAACGATTTTTTTTTATTAAAACTAATCTTTGAGCTTTGATGTTCACAAATGAAATATTTTTGAAAACAGAAGAAAACAACGAATAACACAGAAAAAAGATTAAAAACTGATTCGTCTTTTGAAACTAAAGTTCAACAATTAGTACAATATGAAAACCAAACTTATGATTAGATGCCGCGGTGCTCAAAATTTGTATTTACAAACGTTTGCTTGTGTTTGCGAAAATTCGTTACTTAAACAATTTCTAGTGGAAGACCGCATGCAAATACCGATATTATATCACAGATCCTCCTCTAACTTATTTATTTTTCTTTCTTATCTTTGTTTGATTCTTTGCATTGTCAGCCATATTAGAATACACTGGTTACACCAATGCTACTAAAAAATGGTTTAACGTTTAGGATTGATTTATCTATGTGGGATTTGACTCGATTCAAAAACAATCAATGTTTACTTTTTTAGAATCTTGGTCATAGCGAAAACCGGACTATATTCTAAGTCAAGTTTAAAAAAGGATATAGGCCTAACTTTTTGATCCCACAGTAAAAAGGATCTAATCCTACCATGTTGTCTCTAGGGCAAACACGATATATATCTATCATTTTAAATCTGGTGTAAAATGGACCTATGCCTACTTTTTTTATTCTCGTGTAAAATGGACCTATGCCTACTTTTTATATTCTCGTGTAAAATGGGCCTATGCCTACTTTTTTTTTATTCTCGTGTAAAATGCACCTATGTCTACTTTTTTCATTCTCCTCTAAACTGGACCCATTTCTACCATTTTGACGCTAGTGCAAACACGACATATAACTACCTTTTTTTATTCTCGTATCAAATAGTCCTATGCCTACCTTTGTTATTCCTGTGTAAACTGGACCTAATTCTACGATTTTCTCCCTAGTGCAAACAATATATATATATATATATACACACACATATATATATATATATATATATATATATATATATATATATATATTGTGTTTGCACTAGAGAGAAAATAGTTTAATATATATATATATATATATATATATATATATATATGTATTACAGAAAAAAAGCCAAAAATTACCTTAACATTGATATAGCCTATTTCAAACCGTTCTTCACACGGCTATCGTCAGTCTCTAAGTACTTGTCTCGGAGCGTAGTTCTAAATTTATTTTAAAGTCAGTCTTCCTCTAGTCGGCGCCTTGTTAATGAGAGTGGGTTGTGTTAGCGATTGTCGGGGGCGTAAGGTGTCTTATCCCGTGGGAAGCGGTTTGGGTTTGAACTTTTTGTTTGTAATTTAATATCAGTTCCTACTATATGGTGTTTCTACTAACGGCCCTGTAGTTTTGTATTACTAAGCGATGGGGTATTTAAATTTAGGTCCATTAAGATTGATGAAAGTTAGTTGAGTTATAGATTTATTGATCGAGGTTAATACCAGTGCACCAAGTGGAATAACGCGTGCTGTCACACGCCCATACATGCGTCCATATCTTTATACTTACATATATGTGTATATTTACATGATCATGCATACATGCCACTTCACGTACACATATATCCCACAGATATGCGACTGTATTCTTCTGTAATTTAAAATTTATTCGTATGTCTACATTTCGTAATTAGTAACTTTTAAAATTTTAGTAACTATTAAATCAATGGAGAGAACTAATTATATACCAGTAGATCGATTACCTGTACTATATATATATATATATATATATATATATATATATATATATATATATATATATATATATATATATATATATATATATATAAAGTGAACATTGATGTCAACACTCAGAGGCGACAGGATGTTTCATGCTGGACGTAATCGTTAGGCCTCGAGTCTGAGAATTGCGTCTAGCATGAAACAGCCTCTGAGTGTTGACTTTAATTTTCACTTTTATATTTACATACGCTCTATCTCTGATATTGAGCACTTTATCTCATAAATATAGCACACCTTAAAATATTTCTTCATATATATTTATATATACCTTTTTTTATTTTCGTGTAAAATTGACTTATGCCTACCTTTTTTATTCTCGTGCAAAATGGACTATGCCTACCTTTTTTACTCGTGTAAAATGAACTTTTTTTATTCTCATCTAAACTGAACCTATTTCTACCATTTTGAATCTAAAGCAAACACTATATATATATCTACCTGTATTATTCTCGTGTATAATGGAACTATGCCAACCTATATTTTTCTCATTTAAAATCGACCTATGCCGACCTTTTTATTCTTGTGCAAACTGGATCTATTTCTACCATTTTAACTCTACACCAATGTCTACTATTTTAGCACTAGTGTTAAAAAATGGCGTATGCCTACCTTATTATTCGCATATAAACTGAATCTGTATCTACTATTTTGATTCTAGTGCAATAGGGAACTCTGTTTAATATTTTATCTCAAGGGTAAAATGGACCTATGGTTACCTTTTTTTAGTGTTAACTGGACCCGTGTTTAATATTTTGACTCTAGTGAAAACCAGATCTATGTCTACAATTTGACTATAGGGAAATCAGGAATTATATCTAACATTTTGATGCAAGTGAAAATGGACTTATGCCTACATATTTTAAGTTAACCTGGACCTATATCAACCATTTTGACTAGTGGAAACACAAATCATTTGTATCATTTTGTGACTAGCGCAAACTGGAACTATGTGTACCATTTTTCAGTATAATGAAAATGCATTTATATTTTGACTCAAGTGTAAATCGGACCGATGACTACTATTGTAATTCTTGTACAAACAAGGCACATGTTTATCTTTTTTTTTTCCAGTGTAAACATGGAGTAATGTATAATATTTTGTGTAAAGTGTAAGAAGAGCGTGTCTACTTTTTGACTTATGTAAAACCGGACATACAGATGTAAACCGTACCTCTGATTGCCAAATTGATTTTACTGCAAACAGTATTTAGTTTTAACTTTTTCTTTTAATTTTAGTCCAAACCGGGACAGTGTATACATTGTCACTCAACTGTAAACCGGGCAGCAAAGTAGCTTTTTTATTCTAGAGAAGAATGAACATTTGTTTCTCTTTTAGCTCAATTGTAAACGAGAAGAATATCTAAAATTTTATCTTTTGTAAATTCCATGTTCTTCTGCCAATTATTTCCTTTCTCAGTGTTTTACACGTTTTTTTTTGTAAAAAATGATTGATTCACTTATTTTTAGGATTATCAACCCTTTATTGGTTATTTAAAGCCAGAAAATATATTTAGATTGTAAAAAAATATTTTTAGAGTTAATAATAGTCTAGAGATAAAATTATTACTAATTAACCCATTGCTGTGGAGAGAAGAGGCGGATTTTATACTTTTTTCACGGGCAACAGTGAATATGAGGAAGGCAAGAGGAATTGGAAATCGGTTCTCCGATTAACAGATCCCGAGCCATTATCCACATCACCCTCAGATCCTAGCTTACAGCGCCTATATTCCTAAGAGGTCACCCCTCTCGGTACTGACAAGACTCGGCGTTGTTTAACTTTGGTTATCGTACGAGAACCGGTGTTTCAACGCGATGTGGCCGTAAGAACTTGTAAAAAATGACAAGGATTTAATACTAATAATCCCTGGATGAAAAAGGAAAATTTTAAGCTTTCTTAATAACATATGAACTTGTTGAGTGCTGCAAGGGATAGAAGGATGTGGAGAGCCATGTTTGCCTATGTCCTGAAAGGACACGGCTAATAGAAAAAATGAAGGAAACTAAGAGAAAAAAATGCATATTAATTGTAAGAAAAATGAATGTTTAGGGGTCAGCAAAAGAGACAGCCCACGATGTGTGCTGCGTTAATGGGGATGTCAAAATCATGCAGGGATTGAAATATTACTATCTGAGAATTCTAGTGAGAGATTACGAAAGATGTGACATAAGAATGGCGAAAATTGCCTTCTAGAAACTGAGCAAAGTCGGAAAAAAACTTAGGAAGATATCGTTTAGATAAGCAAAAAAAGGTTGAACACTTGAAATTTTGCGCACAGAAGCAATGGAGAATTAAAACTACAGAGATGTTTTCTCTCAACAAATGCTAAGAATACGATGCACAGAAAATATGAGCAATGACGTTTTAAAAGATGCAAAAACTAATACATTTAAACAGCAAAAAAGGGGGTTGGAATTTCTCAGATACATAACGAGGAAAAGGCCCTGAAGAATTTGACACTCAAAGAACCTTCTTCTTCTTCTTCTTCTTCTTATTATTATTATTAGAAGAAGCATATACAGATAGAAGATAGTATATATATATAGTCGACTCTCCCGTCGAGTTCGACGTATGAGGGTCAAGCAGATCAGTTCCCAGGAAACCGACAGCCAGACAACGGCACATGAGATTTGATTATAATGGTGAAGGTTTCGTGCAGGACCATCCACACTTTTAGAAGGGCCGAGTTCAGAGACCTGGTGCACTAAGTGCCAGAAGGTCCCCAAACGACCCTCCGCAGGTTTTCAATTCAGAGTTGTCCTTCTCCTAGACCAGTTGCCATCCAAAGCTATAGAACCCAGTCTGTCCATAGCTGGAGGGAGAAGAAGAGGATTCACACCTTTCCTAAGGATATTAGCACGTAAGTGAATGTAATGGATTCGACTATACATATATATATATATATATATATATATATATATATAGAGAGAGAGAGAGAGAGAGAGAGAGAGAGAGAGAGAGAGAGAAGAAGATAAAAAAAAATTATTGTGGCAAGCCATGATCGTCCACGCCCGGAAGGTTTGGCCCATAAAAAAAGAGTCTAGCTGCAGTCCAAGCAGAAAAAAAAGTCTTGTCTATCATTTAAAAGTCCCACAATCCTGGAGGAATAAATTGGCTTGAATAAAACATTTAAAAAAAAACATAATTGAAAAATAGTGCTGTTAAATTCGATGGTGAAGTATGAATTCAAAGAAAACCCATGAATAAGAATAAATAATCTAAATAAAATAAAATAGCCTGGTATAGAGCTAAATGAATTTTCATTATATTCGATAAGGGAATCGGATGCTTCAGTGAGACCTGAGACGTACTTGATAAAATATTGTTATAAGACAGTATTACTCTTTTAATCAATTAGGTTTATTCTCATGGATAGGGATCTCGGTAAACCGTCGTCATGCCAAGACATTTCTTTAGATTAAAGGCAACCCTCATATTAGTTAACACATATACGGTAAAGGGTTCGTTACAGAGAATGTAATTATAGATATGCAAGAGGTACAAGAAGAAAAAATATATAAGAAAGATAAAATCAATGAGCCATATTAAACATTGTAATCGACTGATTTGTTTATTTAACGGCATATCAAATCCTTTATGGGTCATTTAATGCCCTAACTTAATTTTCTTGTGAAATTTGAAGTAATAGAAATATGATATACGTTATTCTGCTTTCGCAGTTGAATACATGGTAGATGATACTCAGCTTTTATGTATATAGATGTTTGTGTAGACATAATTACTAGAGGGGGTGATATGTGTGTGTTTATGTTGTAGTTTTGTTGAAGTGATATTTTGGAATACAATTTGATTTAAGAAATTGTAGGATATTATATAAAGTAATGTCTTGAAAGTGTTCTCTCATACTGCTTGTGAGGTTAGTTGATTTTGCTTGGTAGTCTATCAACCTCTATGCGTTATTTATTACCAAAAATTCCAGATATTTTGTACGTAAAGTCATACTTTCAACTACAGATATTTTATACATAATTTTATACTTTCAAGATAAACATATGTTTAGATATATATTTTGTAGACCATAAAATGTATTGCTGGTAATTTTGCTATAAAAACGTATTTTTATATTTTAGTATTTTAGAAAAATCACATGGTAGAGATAAACACTTAGTTGTGGAGCAAGCTAAGTGAATAATAATCCAACCTTTAGAAAGAGAGCTATTTATGTTGCCATGGAGCATCTCATTGTGCTAAAGTGGGATAGTCCATTGCTTGGGCTGTGATTGGCTGCTTTATTTTTGTCTGTCAGCTGGACGATAGCTGGGACCTTTACACCGGTAAGTGCTGTTTATTATTGTTATTCTACAGCATTGATTGTCATTTTCCTATGAAGATTCATTGTTCGTCATTTTATTATAAAAATGTACTGTTTATTTTTGTTTGGATGTTCACTATTTGCCCATAGCTGGGACCCTAACAAGTGCTCCTACGCCAGGTCATGTGAATCTGGGAACAACAAAGATTAAGAGGTGGTTCGGCGCTTCTCAAAACCGCCAATCTCCTGATCAGAGGCCCTGCTGCCGGATGTAGTTTATCGTTATACCCAGGACATATTAGACAGTAAATTACAAAGTCGAATCATTGAAGCAAAAAAAAAAAAAAATTGGAAAGAACAAGATATATGCCCTGATAGAGACGATATAAGTATATATGATAAGCATAATTTTATTATCATGGAGCTAACGGTCATCGCAGGCTGAGGTCATTGGTTTCTGCTTAATCACCGTAAACTGTAATGAATCCGATCATGAGTTAGATAGGTGTCAGCTGAAGAACACCGTTACGAGTAATAAATCAATTTTCAATAAGCATCTTTCAACATTTTCGCTGATTAATTTGGTTGATTTAACGACATGTCAAACCGTATTGGGTTATTCAATATCAAATGTAAGTAATATAATACAAAGATCGCCATGAATTAATAGACTAGTAGAAATAGGTCACTTCAGACATACGGAAAATTTATATCACATTCAAAAACTTGATATCGGATCAAGAATTTAAAAATAAATGCAGTTTACATTTAGGTTAAAATAGAAATATAGCTCTGGTCTGTTCTCGGATTAAATGTCAGAAATATATGCAGTTTACATTTGAGCTAAAATAAAAAAAAATAGCTCTGGTCTATTCTCGGATCAAAAGTTAGAGACATATGCAGTTTATATTTGAGTTAAAATAGAAAAATAGTTTTGGTCTATTCTCGGATCAGATGTTAGAAATATATGCAGTTTACATTTGAGTCAAAATAATATAAAAAAAGCTCTGGTTTATTCTCGGATCAGATGTTAGAAATATATGCAGTTTACATTTGAGTCAAAATAAAAAAAAAGCTCTGGTCTTTTCTCGGATCAGATGTTAGAAATGTATGCAGTTTACATTTGAGTCAAAAAATAAAAAAAAAAGCTCTGGTTTATTCTCGGATCAGATGTTAGAAATATATGCAGTTTACATTTGAGTCAAAATAAAAAAAAAGCTCTGGTCTTTTCTCGGATCAGATGTTAGAAATGTATGCAGTTTACATTTGAGTCAAAATAATAAAAAAAAGCTCTGGTTTATTCTCGGATCAGATGTTAGAAATATATGCAGTTTACATTTGAGTCAAAATAAAAAAAAAGCTCTGGTCTATTCTCGGATCAGATGTTAGAAATGTATGCAGTTTACATTTGAGTCAAAATAATAAAAAAAAAGCTCTGGTCTATTCTCGGATCAGATGTTAGAAATATATGCAGTTTACATCTGAGTCAAAATAAAAATAGCTCTAGTCTATTCTCGGATCAGATGTTAGAAATATATGCAGTTTACATTTGAGTCAAAATAAAAAAAAAGCTCTGGTCTATTCTCGGATCAGATATTAGAAATATATGCAGTTTACATTTGAGTTAAAATAAAAAAAAATGGCTCTAGTCTATTCTCGGATCAAAAGTTAGAAACATATGCAGTTTATATTTGAGTTAAAATAGAAAAATAGTTTTGGTCTATTCTCAGATCATATGTTAGAAATATATGCAGTTTATATTACAGTCAAAATAAAAAAAAAGCTCTGGTCTATTCTCGGATCAGATGTTAGAAATATATGCTGTTTACATTTGAGTCAAAATAAAAAGTAGATCTGGTCTATTCTCGGATCGGATGTTAGAAATATATACAGTTTACATTTGACTTAAAACATAGAAATAGCTTTGGGTTATTCTCGGATCAAGAAGTTAGACATATATGTAGTTTATATGTGTACGACAAAAAGTTCATAGGCAGACTATGAATAGGTAATGACAGAGCTGTGAAATCTTGCATGCATTCATTTCAAGTCTTCTTATTAATAACTGCATTGTTATTCCCGGATAAATTCATATCTAGCTGTTCAAAGGCCTCAAAAATAACTAATTGCGACTTCCTGAAAATAGACAAAAATGTGATTGAATGTCTGGCCATCCTGAAACTACCAACTCTGATGAAAACATTGTGTTCATCATATGATGATGGATAAACAACTATAAATCAAATAGTCAATGCGATTAGCATATCTCGTGAGGGACTTGAGAGAGATCCTGCACAATGAACTTGGCATGACGAAGGTTTCTGATTGGTGGGTGGCACGTCTTCTGACACCCGATCAAAATCGCTCCAGGCTGATCACATCACGGGAAAATCTGACGTCGTTTCATTTGATTTGAAGGTGATGGCTTCAGCTTTTCGTGATGTAAAAAAAGCATTGTGTTTATCGACTATATTCAAAAGGGTCACACCATCAACGGAGAATACTCTAATAACTTGCTAAGGCAATTACGAAAGACTGACAGGAAAAAACATC